AAAAAAAACAAAGGTTTTTACAGTAGGCGAATAGTTGAACAAACATGATTAAACATTCATACTGTCCATAATACCTAGCAATAAAAAGGAAGTAACTATTGATACATGCAGCAAATCGGATGGATCTGGAGCATTGAGCTGAGAATGGGAAAAAAAAAAATCTCAAAAGGGCATGAAATCAATGATCACATTTGTATAACATTCTCAGAATGAAAAATTATAGAGATGGATACAAGCTAGTGTTTGTCAGGAGCTAGGGATTTCTCTGGGGAATAGTGTTAGGGTGACTTTAATGGGTAGCCTGAGTGTGATCTTTGGTGATGGGAAAGTTTTGTATCTTGATTTTGGTGGTATTTATAGGACTTTATATATGAAACAAAAGGGACAAATGCTCACATTGTGCCAATATTAATTTGCTGGTTTAACAAAATTAACAGATAAAATAACAAATTGTGCTGTAATTATATACAATAAAAGCATTGGGGAAATAAGGGACATTTCTCTACCATCTTTGCAGCTTCCTGTGAATCTGCACTTATTTCAAAATAAAAAGTTAAAAAAGATGATCCTGGTATGTGGGGTAAATTGGGGACTTCGTAACTAACACAAGACTGTTTTGGTTAAGAACAACTAAAATTAACTAGACTTTATGAATAACTTAAGTCTTTTAATAAGTGTCTTAAACATAAATGATAAACAAACTTTCCCAGGTTTCTGACATTTTTGGGTTAGGCTTGGCTTTCTTTTTTAAAAGATGACCAGTAAAGGGATATTAACCCTTGACTTGGTGTTGTCAGCACCACGTTCAGCCATTGAACCTGGGGCCAGCTCACACTTCCCCTGCTGAGGTGTGTATGCCTTTCTTTTGTATCAAACTTACTTTCAGCAAGCGGCTGCTCACTCTTTTAAGTCATCCTGCACACAAGCAGCTGCTCACTCCCTGAAGCCAGGCTGCACTTTGTGCTAAACTTTAAGTGTGTATTTCTTACTTTTGTGTTAAACTTGGTGTGGGCTCTGCTCAGCCTCTGGGGCTAGGCCGCACTCTTCCTGTGGAACCTGTATCTCTGATTCATTATATTAAACCTGTTCTCACTTTCTTTCTTTTTTTTTAAAGATGACCGGTAAGGGGATCTCAACCCTTGGCTTGGTGTTGTCAGCACCACGCTCAGCCAGTGAGCAAACCGGCCATCCCATATATGGGATCCGAACCCGTGGCCTTGGTGTTATCAACACCGCACTCTACCGAGTGAGCCACAGGCTGGCCCTAGGCTTGGCTTTTAAAAAGTTTTACTTTATAACAAAATTTATATATGAGAATTCTCGATAGTGTATAGTAAAAAGGAAACAAAACTAGTTAAACTGTATGTGCTCACATTCTTGTAGTACTATTTAGAAAAAAGAACTATAGACTTCCCCATATTCTAAGATTAAGTTCATTGATTTCTACTATCTTAATTATAATATTAGAAACTCTAAATTGAATTGAATTTTTATGTGATAATATTTTCTCCTGTGAAAAGGAATATTTTCAGCCTCAATATTTAGTGTTATAATTAGAATGCTTAACAAACCAAATAGGAAAAAATCTTGGTTATTATGTTAATAACTTTTATGAAAGATTTTTTTTTTTTGTAAATACATTCTGTCTTTAAAAATACTCTCCTTTATGTTTGAGTAAACTGTTTTTCTTCAAAATGAATTGACTTTGTTTAAAAGAAAAGGGAATGCTGGTGATCTTAAAATACCATAATGCATAAATTAATTTTTAACAAAGTGTAAGGTATAGTTATTAAGTAAACGAGAACCATTTAGGAGGAGAGGAATACCGTTTTAGGGTCTGCTGTCTGCATCTGGTGATGTGAGAAGTCAGCAAGGGAGAAGCTTGTACACATGTGAAGAAGGTCTTGCCTTGGGGTACAGACCTGTTATGCAGTCTTAACTTAAGTTGCAGTTTTAACTGCCTGCTTGGAATTTTGATGTTTACATAGACCTTGCAGCTGTTTTAAAGGTCAGCATATTTTCCCATAGGGTTGATACATTCATTTAGTAGAATCATCCCCCTAACTTTTGGATTAAGGCCAGTTTTCCTTTCTAAATCGAGATAACTTTTGTCATGTTGGCTTCTGAGAGCTCACGGGAGTGTCCTGTTTTTGCTTTGCTCAGTGCTTGGCTCAGCAGGCATTTTGTTAAAGCAAAGCACAGTGCTGCTGCTCAGCACAAACATGAGTGATGTAGTGACAGGGTTGTGTTTGGAGGAGGAGGGATGGGTAATAGAAAGTCAGTGGTAGTGTTAGGAACAGATACACCTGTAGTTGAAAAAGGAAGATGTAATGTGTAAATACAGTTCTTAAAATTGTATTAACTAATGTAGCGATATATTGGGAGGAAGAATGGATATCAGAAAATGAGCAGAAAATATCCAAAGTTGGTAAATTATGATGTTTAAATTATTTAGAGATTTGAATGACTTAATCACATGTGGCTAGACTGGATTGAGATGTGCTGTGAATATAAAATACTGAATTTTGCAGAGGGAATCAAAAACAGTGTAAAAATATCTAATGTTTTTTATATTGACCATTGGGTTAAGTAAATCATTAAAAGTAATTTCACATGTTTTTACTTTTGAAGATGTGGCCACTAGAAAACTTAACATTACTTATTGACTTGCGACGTGTTTCTTTTGTACAGCACTACTCCAGAATCCACTCTGCTGTCTAAATCAGGCACTTAAAACTGGCTCCCTCCAGGGAGTGGGCTGAGCCGGGGGGGAAAGTGGGCTTAAGGGAGAGTTGTTTTTTATTTTAAGCCCTTTTGTGCTATTTGTGTTTTGAAACATGTTAGTGAAATTTGATAAAAAATTACCTCTTTAACAAAGGCAGTGATCTTGTTACAGACAGACCAGGCTCGGCCTGCCTCTCACACTAAACAAGTAACCTTCAAGTCCAAAATTTGGTGCAAGGATTGGAAGTTTTATTTAGATTACTGGTACTCAACTAAATGTCTAATCAAGCAAACAAACAGAAAAGAGAAGCAGTGGGGTCCAGTTTATCCTAGTTCCAGTCGGTGGGGCCAACCTATTCCTCTGACAGAGTAATTGATAAAAGCAGTTCTCCCCACTGTTGTTGGCACAGAGAAGGAAAGTATCCACTAGATTTAAATCAGAGAAACAAGGCATAGCCAGGAGCTCTCCAGGGCACACCTATACAGAACAGAAGAGGGCTTGGAAAATCAGAAACAAAACATAGCCAGGAGCCCTCCAGGGTACACCTACATAGTAGTGTTGTGGGCCGAATGCACAGAGGAATCCAAGACTGGCATCAGTGTTACAGCTCTTTATTTCGTGTTGCAGCTCTTTGTTCAGTGTTACAGAGCCTCTTTTGCTTATAAGCAAGGAGAGCACTGGGGAGCAAAGACTTCTATACCAGTGTCTCCCAGAACAAAGGAAAAGGCCATCTTATATAGCCTAAATTTCTGTCCTTTTCCCGCCCTAGTTCCCATTCAGGTCCTCTTATGTAAATGAGGGATGCAGTCCTGCTAATTTGGATTGGCTGATTATGGGACAGTCCATTGGTCACTTCTGGAGCCTAATTTGCATCCGGCCCTTGGGGGATGTGAGACTGCTGTTATCTCATAGAGGGCAGGTGCCGGAAGCAAGCAAGTAAAGTTGCAAAGAGGCCAGAGTCTGCAGTTAAGGCAGTCAAGCAGAGAGTTTCTAAAATAGTTTCTCCGGTGGAAGGAGGCAGGTCTAACAATCAGAAAATGCTCAGGGTTCCCCACTTACAGTAGCAGATATAATCCAACCAAACAGCAGGAGAGGGCTCAGAAAATCAGAGAAAGGTAAAGAGAATTTTAGTGGCTTCCGGACTTCCAGTCGCTGTGTGGCATGGGAATGAATCCCCACCATTCTCGTGAATCCCCCATCAGGGGAACCTGCTCAAGCATGGTCTTCACGGTGTGGGACTGGCCTTCCCACCTCTGCTAGTTACCTGTCAGGGCAAACCGCTGCCGGCCAGAGAGAGCATGCTTCTCACAGGTTGAGAGGAGTTTAAGCTATAGTTGTCTGGCAGTCACTTTAAAGAGGAAGAAAAGGGGAAAAAGAGTAAAAGAGAATAAAACATTGCCTTGTTAGAATTTAGGCCAGGGACTCCAGGAGAGACCAGCAGCAGAGACATGGGAACAAAATAGTCCCAGTGGCCACTTGCCTTTTGCAGCTAGAGTCTTCTCTGGTGCCCAAAGCTTTCCAGTTTTCGCTGGTGACTAAATTAGGCTCTTATATTCCAAAGTCATAGAAATGAACAGTGTACCCAGCAGTAAAGCAGGCAATGCTTTATTAAAAGGGAGATAGACTTATGCATAAGGGGGACAGCAACAGTAAAGCTAGCCCCCCAAGGGGAGCTGTTCAAGGTCTTTTATAGGGAAAGGAGTTAAGGGGTGCAGGCCAGCATCACTGGAAGTGGTACATTCTGTTCTTCCTGGTTGCATCATCAGTGCATGCTCAGTAGGTCCAAGATGGCAGTGGTGTTCATCATTGTCACCCCAGGAGGGTCATTGTAGTGTTCCATCTTGAAGCTTTGTGCACATGTGGGAATTCCTAAAGGGGTGGTAAGGTTAATCACTTTTACAGTTAGGGTAAACAAGCCTTAGGGAGGGGTTTTGCAACTCAGTAAATATCTGTTTCCTCTCTTATCTCAATCCGTTTTATCAGGATGGGCCACCGGGGTAATCATTTGCCCTGGGGGTGTAATGACTGAGGAGTGGAAAAGTAACAAAGTGTCCTCTGCAGGGAAAATGGAGTTGGTTTGGTTCACAGGCCTAGCCTTACTCTGTCAGTCTCTACCTAAAACATCTTAATTTGTCCTGTTCTAAATTATGTAGTAAATGTTAACCATAGTAAGGAAGCTTGTAATCAAAAGTAGTAATATCTTGTCCACTGTTTTGCCTTTATTTCAATTTGCTATATCATAAATAAAACACTTGTGTTTCCTGCTGCTGTTTAGCTTATTGCAGGAGGGACCAGGACACTGCCTTCTGGAAGTAATGCCCACAGAAAGCGGGAGCTGTTCCACTGCTCGCCAAGCAAAGCAGAAGCGCAAATCACACAGCCTTTCCATACGGAGAACCAACAGCTCAGAGCAGGAGCGGACGGGGCTGCCACGAGAGATGTTGGAAGGACAAGTAAGTTGGTATTGGTCAGTGCCTCATGGTGAAGAGGGGACTGCGCTTGTAATGCCATGAAAGTACCCAACTATGTGATGGTCACCAGGGTAGAAAAAATGTTTGTGTTACCAAAAAAGATCCTCCCCAAACTCCCACAAAATAATCCCATTAAAACTACCATCAAGTACAACAGCACATACAAGAGATAGTTAGATTTCTGGGTTAACATATTCATAATACTCAATAACCAAAAGAAGTAGATGTGACGATTTGGATTAGTTTTTATTCTTTATGTACATTGACAGTACGCTATTCTTTCTTTAATAGTCTTAAGAAAAGAAAAGCCTCATGTAAGTTTAATGATCTCTTTCTGTTCTCTGAAGTTTTTGGAATTAGATCTTTTAGTAACTTTACTTGGCTTTAGCCTTGTCTCTGCAGTGAGTGTGCCATCCTTTGATTAAATGAACTAGTATTTTATTGATAAAGATAAGTTCTGCTTATACTTTTTCTAGTTCTTTCTTAGATGAAAAGAATTTTAAAAGAATATTATTTTGGAACCTAGACAGACGTATATATTAAAATAAATTATAGCTATATCTTATACATGTATATAAATATATATACATTTAAAACCATTCTTTGACAATTAGAACTGATTGGCTGCAATGCTGCAGGAAAAATAAGGCTTAAATCTGAGAAATTGGCTCATAAGAATATTGGATCTTGTTAGAACCTTGTGGATAACTTTATGCCCAGGACTTCTAGGATGTAACCTCTATAGGGGCAGCACCGCATACTCAGAACCCAACGTAGTTGCTGCCATAAAGCAGATATTCAATCAGAATTCAATTATTATGTGTTGAATGGAAGAATAAATAAATATCTGGTTCTACTTTCTATAAAAATGATTACATTTTAATTTTATGTTGGAAGTAAAATCATAAAAATAGCTTTGATATTCTTAGTGTATTTGCTAGGGCTGCTGTAACAAAGTACCACAAACTGGCTAGTTTAAACAATAGAAATTTATTTTCTCACAGTTCTGGAGGCTGGAAGTCCTAAATCAAGTGGTCAGTTGGTCTGGTTTCCCCTGAGGCCTCTCTCCTTGGCTTGTAGGTGGCCACCCTGTCCCTGTGTCCTCACGTGGTCTTTCCTCTGTGCATGTCTGTGTCCTCATCTCTTCTTATAGGGCCACCAGGCATAATGGATTAGGACCCACCTTTCTGACCTCATTTTACCATAATTATCTCTAAACACCTTGTCTCCAAATACAGTGATGTGTTAGTAAACAACGGGGTTACTTTTTGAGAAATGTGTTACTGGCAGTTTCATTATTGTGCAGAAGTGTATTATGAAAGTGAACCTCAATAAATTTTCCTTTTTTTTTTTTTTTTGTCTTTTTTCGTGTCTGGCAACGGATCGCAACCCTCAGTGTCGCGCCCGTACCGGACTGGGACCGGCAACGGGGTCGCAACCCTCGGTGTTGCTCCCGCATCTCGCTCAGCCAGTGAGCGGGAACCAGTCTGTATGTGGGATCCGAACCCTTGGCGGGAGCGCCGCCGTGCTCCCAAGCGGCGCACTGTAGCAGTGCGCCACCAGGCCGGCCCTCAATGAATTTTCCTATTGTCTGCACTGGACACTAGCTGCATGAGTGTGAGACCTCTAATTATGTTACTAAGTTTCTCTGAGCCTCACTATACTCATATGTTAAATGAGGATTAGAATAATTATCACTCCCACAAAGTCGTGAAAATTAAACTTCAGGTAGGGATTATGCCTGGCACTCAGCAAGCATTCAGTGAATGTTAACTGAAAGAAAGTGAGCCGAGACGCTGGGTACCAATCAAGCTTTATTAAAGGAAAAGAAAATCTGCTGGGCTGCGCTCAAAGCAGTGGGCAGCCCAGGGCTGCCCTCAGAATGGAGGATGGCCTCAGATGTGGGGGTGAGGTAGGTTATATAGGGTGCCAAGGGCTGGCTGATACCATTAAGGAGGGGCATTATGGTAATGCTGAAGCTATGCAACGAGGGTAGAGAATTGCACCCTTGCAGCAGCAAAAGGGTTTCTGTTTTGCAGAAGTCATGAGGATTCTCATAAAGGGAAGTGGGGAGGGGTTTGGTGGTGGAGTGGAAGACAAGGCCGGCAGCTATTTTGTGCTTATTGTGTCCACAATGGCGCTGGTCATGTCCAAGATCCATCATTAACTAAGTGTTATTAACTGTTTTGCTGTGGGGATGGGTTGGAATCATTTAAAAATGCAAGAATTCTGAAGTAGACAAGAATCCTTTCACTTGGAGTCAGATATAATGTATCAAATGCTTGGCTTTCTTTCTTAAAGGTCTGAGCTGCCTTTGGGAGGGTCACCCATGGGTAAGCTAGGCACTCCTCCTTCACATATTTTGCAGTAAGTTTGTTTACACCAGCATCACCACAAACCCATGAGTGGTATGATGGCTATGGTGTCACTAGGTGATAGGAATTTTTCAGCTTCATTATAAACTTATGGGACCACTATCATGTGGTCCATCTTGACCAAAACATTGCTATGTGGTGCATGACTGTACAGTCACATTCTGGAGTCCTGGGGCTTTGGACTTCAACATATGAATTTTGGGGACACAGTTGAGCTTCAGCACTTAGGAGAGTGAAACCAGAGCTGTGCTGGACTTCTGTGATGATGGGAACGTTCTCTATCTCCTTTACCTGATATGGGAGCCACAGGTCACATGTGGTTATTGAGCATTTGAAATGTGGCTGGTGTGGCTCAGAGCCTCAAATTTTAATTTCTTAAAATTTTAATTACTTTACATTGAAATTTAAATAATCAGATGTGGCTAGTGGCTGCCATATTGGATAATGCAGGTAAACAGTCTAAAGTAGGTTTTTTTAATTTTTAGGTTTTCTTACATGTTTAGCAATGAGAATTCCACAGCCTCCATGGCTGGTGTGCTAGTGTTGCCTCCCACATGAGCCAGATGTGTTCTTCTTTTGGTCTTTTGGGTCTCTGTCCTCCATCATGATGTAGCTCAAAGGAGGTAATCGCATCTCATGGTCACGCTTGTGAAGGTGATGCAGAATTCTCCAAACTGAACTGCTGAATCCCCTGTGGCCCTCTTTCTGTGTTCTCCATGTTCCCAGATGGTGCTTATTTGTTCAATGAGTACAGTTTTTTGGAGTGGGACCAGCCAGCATGTTGTATAGTGGCTGGTGATAGGCACTCTGCAGCAGGAGGGAGGAGTGGCAGTGTTTGGTGCAAGCAGCTGGCATGGTAGGTGTAAGTGGAACCATCTAAGAACATGGACTGGTGGATTGCCAGTGGATTTGAATTTGTGATCATTTTCTGGACAACATATGTGGTCATGCTCTTTCAATTGCTGGGAAGCCATACCAAAAAGAAAGTGAAGATTAGTCTGAATGAGATTTTTTTAAAGTTTATTTTATTAATATTTTTTTTTACATTCTAAGATGATGTTGTGGAGCAGTTGATGGGGAGGGGGAGAGGGAAAGGGGAAGGAAATAGGGTGGGAGAAGGAGGAAGGAGGGGGGCCGGGGTTGAGGCCTGTGGCACCCTCCTCATTCCTGCAGCGAGCCTGGGGCTCTTCCTGTGGCAGCTTGGTGGTTGTTGCTGGGCTGGATGCAGATGTCAGGCAGTGTGGCCAGGGCCCTCTGTCCCCCAACTGCCCTGGCTCAGTAGCCTGGGGCACTTTCTGTGGCTGCTCAGTGGTCATCGTTGGGCTGGTTGTGGGTGTCGGGGGTTGGGGGTGGTGTGGTGTGTTGTGGTGTGTGGTGTGGCTGAGGTCCCCCGCCCTCCCTCCTCCCTGGCTTTGGAGCCCAGGGGGCTTTGGTCATTCTAGGTTTTATAGGTGTTCTTTGTTGATGTGAGACCTTCATTAGTTAACATCTAATTTTGTCTCTGGTCTGTGGGTATCTTGTTTTTTTTCAGTTCTGTGTTGGATTATTTGCTATTTCCACTACTTAAATTCTTCACTGTAACTAATTTGTTGTCCTTTGCTTACTTCTGAATTGGAGGGACTGTCTGTGGGGACCAGCACTTGAGCTCTATGGTGATCTGAATTGCTGCTTTGCTGCTGATTCCCTGGGGAATGCTTTTTTGCAGCTCAGGTTTTAATGGTTGACTTTATAGGTACTTCTGGGTCTCGTGAGGTCCAGTACACCTGGGTTGTGTGGAAACTCTGGTCTAGGCCTGAGTCTTTTCAGTAAACTGTACCCCTGCAATTCTGTATTCCTGACTTGTCTCCACTGAGTGGGCTTGTGCTGATTGGGGTGCAGATCAGCTCTCCATGCAGTACCCCAATGTTGCCTCGGTGGGCCTGCCTCCACCAATTCCCCACTCCAAACACTTCCTGTGTGATGGGCCATGCACCAGTTCCTTGTGATGACTCACCAGCCTCTGAATGGTTCCCCCTTTTCAGCTGTTCTGCCTCCTCACTCCTGTGTGGGTCCATGGGAACCCTATTAGTGGTCTTGCTGTCCTGGGGGCCACCAAAGCCCTCTTCTCCCCTGCTGCCTCCAAGCAAGCCCATCTGAAGGGCACAACTGCGGCTTTTGCCAGCTCTTGCTCCATGTGCTCAGCAGCTCCAGCCTGGACGCAGCTGGGGCTTGAAATGCACCAAGCAGTTTTTTCTTTCTCTCATCATGGTTTCTCCCACCTTCATGCCCTCCACAGGTCTCTCCTCCTCTTCCCCTGAGCTCCAGTGGCCCCGCTTGGCTGTTGTTGCTTTTTTATAGTTGTAAATTAGTTGACTTGTGGGAGAGAGTGACGCTGGGGACCATTTATTCTGCCATCTTGACTGGAAGCTCTGAATGAGATATTACGTTAGGTTTAGCTTTTTGTCTTAGATTCATACATCTGAGGCAGATTGGAGAGCAGTGGTTAGCTGGGGATGGGCGGATTGCTGCAGAGGACTGCAAATCTAGGTGTGCACGCAGTGTTGCTGTGTCCTGTCGAGCTGCTTCCAGCACGTGTGCGCTTTTCAGGTGTATGTCAGTGTTGGTATGAAGAAATGCACATTCATTTAAGAGCTTTACTAAATCATAGCAGCTTTTCTGTCTTCAGTTTTCCCAAGAGGTACCAGAAGTTCAACACCTCTTATTTTCAGGGTCTGTGAAATTGAACGGCATAGAAAAGGAGTACTGATGGAGAAATCCGGGAAGTGATTTTGTGAAGCATCTCTCCTTACTTGGCTCAACTTGCCCCCTAGTGGAAAGTTCTTATTTCACTGTATGTTTAGTTTTTTCATCATCTTTTTAAGAAAAATATAAATTGAGGTTAATGCTGACATCTCAGCTTTGTTTTCCATAGTGATTACTTTTATATTAAGATGCATTTAAGTATTAAATGTTAAATATAACATTTTAGTTGCTGAGTAATAAAGACCTTAAAACATTATGGGTACAGATGAGTAGGAACTGACATGTGTTGGAGGAGACTGGCCTTGTGTAGGAGTGAGAAAGGCTTCACTAAGGAGGCACGCTGTGGGAGGAAGGAGTTCTCTATGGAGAAGGAGGGGAGTAGCCAAGACCACAGGCAGGCTGAGAGTTGAACATTGATGTGGCTCTCAGTTCAGCACAAACTCACATCTTGTAGTCACTGGAATGTTCCCTTTGATGGTTTAGTTTTAATTTTCATTATTATTTTGTTTTCTTTTTTTCCCATGTTCTTCATTGATGTTTTAGAGTGATGTTGGGAGAGACTGTGTTACCAGTTCTACCAGATTCAATTTTTAAACTAGTGGTTTTACATGTATAGTTATTAAAGTAGTTTGTAAAATTTATGTGAGAACTCTGTGATATTGAAAAATGCATATTGCTAAAATGCTGTTATTTTCTCTAAAATTTGTCTTTCTAAGAAGTTAATCTGAGAAGGAATCTAATAAAAATTGTGTATCTTTTTAACTTGCAACTTATCAAACATCAAAAAGTTTGTGCTGTGTATAAGTTTGAAAAGTCACTTAGAAAATTACCCTGACAGTAGTTAGGTATTAAAACATTGTTTTAGAAATATCTGTTGAGAATCTTTTTTGGAAAATTACCCTGCTTGCTGGGTGTGGGGCTGTAGAGCTAGGATGGGGTCTGGTGCTCACAGACCCTTCAAGCCCATTGTCCAGACTAGGTCACAAACCCTTCACATGCAGGTGTATGAGATAGGTAACCAGAAAAAAGGCCCTTGGAGCCGTAGGTGAAGGAATAGTAAGTTTTATTCAGCACACACACGTCTAAGAGCCAGGCAGTCCAAGGAAAAACTCAGAAACTCAACTGCTACAGGCAAAGTAGAAAGAAAAACTGAGCAGCTGCCAGCAAAGTAAACATCTTCTATTTTTATTATTTTTTTTCCTTTTTGTCTTTCTTCGTGTCCGGCAACGGATCGCAACCCTCAGTGTCGCGCCTGTACCGGGACCGGCAACGGGATCGCAACCCTCGGTGCTGCGCCCGCACCTCGCTCAGCCAGTGAGTGGGAACCGGTCTGTATGTGGGATCCGAACCCTCGGCGGGAGCGCCGCCGCGCTCCCAAGCGGCGCACTGTAGCAGTGCGCCACCGGGCCGGCCCAACATCTTCTATTTTTAGACATGAGCTCTCTGCCAATCAGCAGTTCAGGTGGCTGCTCCACAAACTGAAGAACACACAATAGCAACAAACTAAAAAAGATATATTGGTGCACTTCCGCACTAACTCCACCCACACACAACTTGTTTACAAAGAATGTGCTGCACCACCCCCAAGCAGACCTAAGGCAAGGGGGCCTGACTAAACTACTCTATTTTCCTCACAGGGGTCCATACATGGTATTATGCAGGCCCTGCTCTCAGGGAGGTTAGGTTAGAACCAGTTTGAGCCCAGCAGTTTCCTAGTGATGGGCCATGTATAGGCAGAGTGCATGTCTGGTGAGCCTGCTTGGTGCCTAGGGTGCTGTTGAAATTCTGCTTCCTGCTGTCTCCCTGACATTTTAGACGGAGACTGCTGGTGTGAGACAGGATGTGCAGGGCACGAGGCGGGGGGCCCAGCCAGGGATGTGAAAATTAATGTTTTCACTTAACTGATAGGTGTTGTTCTTTTGGGTGAGATTTCCCTTTTTTCCCTCTTCATAACAGTTTCTTAGGTATTAAGTAGAGTTACAGTTTATTTTGCTTGAAGCACAGGGGACATAATGAGAACTCTAACAAGGCACATTTTCTATTAGTATACAGCATATCAAAATACATTTATAATAGCATGTGATAGAACTTGAAGGCTATTCATGATACAACTTTATTTATGGGAACTGCCTTCTCTCCAAATTTGGAAGTTTTTTAATAAGGTCAGCTTACATTTTCTCTTGTAAAGGGAAAAATTATGTTATTTTGAAGAAGTGTTTATTTTTTTCTTTTTCCTTTTTGTCTTTTGTCGTGTCCGGCAACGGATCACAACCCTCAGTGTTGCGCCCGGACCGGGACCGGCAACGGGATCGCAACCCTCAGTGTTGCACCCGCACCTCGCTCAGCCAGTGAGCGGGAA